TATCAATACAACGAAAATTATTACATGTAAATTGTCCTTCGGGACATTGAGGATATACACATGGTTGAAATGCATTATTTTCATCACTGCCATCATTACAATCTATATTAAATAAAAAATTTTCAAAAAGAACTTTATCTTCTTTCCTATGAAACATGATCTAGAAGACGTGTTGAGTTATAGGAATAGGACTTTGGAGTTTCGCAGACTGACAAATTCTAATCAGAGATCATGGCAGACGTTGTTGATATCAAAGATATCTCCTAATAATATATGAGCCATTTCCTTATTATATATCTGGAGGATTAAGGAAAGAAATACATTCCCAATTAAGCAGAATAAACCTATCTCCTTGTGACTAGCAATAGTAGTTGCATCGTGCATCGCATTTTAATCCCGTAGAGATTGTGCTTTATTATTATTTTTTATTTACCAATTTTTCGATCACATCGTTCAATATATGGAATACATCCACCACTTAAACATCGATATTCAGTTGGTCGACAAGAATATCGTGCTATAAAATAATAATGAATTAAATTTATTTTCAAAGAATTATTTTCTTACAGCAAAATCTTGAATCTTCATCTGAACCATCAGAACAATCTGATTGACCATCACAAACTTTTCGTCTTGAAAGACATTGACCATTTCGACAAGTAAAATTAATTGAAGCACATGATGATGATAATGCTAAAAATAAATCAACAAATATTTTTATTCTTTATTTTTTTTTCTGATTTCAAATTTTACTTACGAACACACATTCGTCGATCATTAGCTAATTTTAATTGTTGTCCACTTGGACAAGCACATTCAACTTGATTATCAGCTGCTGTTTTACATATATGACTACAACCACCATTACTTATATTACATGGTGAATATGCACATTTTTGACGTTGATCAGATACAACATGAATATCCATTGGACGATATGGAAGATCATTTTGCATTTCAACCATATTAGCGCCAGTATATTTTTCGACACGATAAATACCACCTGTAAGAAGCGAAAAAAAATTTAGTTTTTAGAAAATGATTTGCATTTAACAACTTACGAAGAGACCAATCAGTCCAATAGATATAATGTCCATGAACAGTTATTGCAAATGGATGAACAACTGTTGAAATAACTTCTCGATTTGTACCATCTAATGATGCACGTTCAATACGATCACTAAATTTAACATACAGAAAATATTTTTTGATTCTATTTCAATACAATCCTAATATAAAATTTAGATATTGTATAATTTATTATAAAACATTCGAGTACATAAATCGCTTTTGAGTCTAGACTATGTAGATTGTGTAGATCCCAATGAGCTATGAGCACCTTGAAAAAAGTTCATCTCCTTAGCTTATTGTTGCTGATATATTGTATTTTTATGGTAGTTTGGAAATAAATACCATGATCCACAAAAACTGATTTTTGCATTTCAACTTGAAACTTTATAAAGAGATAGATTTTAACGAGAGTAGTTCATTATGAAAACGTCACGTCTTTTGAGTTGCTCCTACTCTGAAATAGAAGTATAAAACCTGCCGGTTTACATGAGCGATATAAAAGAAACGCTATTACTATAGCTATATCTTCAATATCTCCAAAAAGATAATCTACAAGCATGACTTCTTTTCAGATTATTCATAACTCATTTAGGGCCTACAAAATACACATAGTCTCGACTCAAAAACGATTTAGCAGTAGTAGAACTTCACTTGTCAGAAGTAATGGACTAATTTTTCGTGTTGAACCCGTATTACATTAACGAAAAATTTAAATAATCAAGAAACAAATCAATATTTCTCTCAAAGTTTTTTCCATCAAGATTCTAAAATTGAAAACTACTTACAACCAAGCATCTGCCCAATAAATACGATCATCATCAAAATCAATTGTTAATCCATTTGGCCATCTTATATCAGTCGTAATAATATAAGTTACTTGTCTTCCAGTTAATGTTGAACGACGAATAGATGGATATACACCAACATCTGACCAAAATAATAACCTATATTTTACAAAAACTACATATATATATATATTTTGTCTCGAAAACATAAAAGTACAAACGAACCCTTTGCATGGATGAACAACAATAGCTCTTGGTTTTGAACTACCAGCTATAACCAATCTTTCTGAACCATTATTTCTAGCCGAAATTATTCTTCCGTATCGTTCATCTGTCCAATATAAACGATCGGATACCCAATCATATGATATACCAACAGGTTGTGAACGACCTTAATTTTTTTTTCAAAAAAAAACAAACAAATTTATTAATATTTTTCCTTTTACCAGTAACATTTGATTGTATTAATTGTCGTGCATGTGGATTTGGATCATCCATATCAAATGAAAATATATCTTGTAAACGAAGATCCCTTTTAAAAATAAATCCATATTAATCATACAGAAAAAAAAAAACAAAACAAAACTCATTTACGTATAAAATATTTTCTTATCTCGATAATCAAAATCAATTCCAACAACCATACTTAAATTTGTAATTGCACGCCATGGTGCACTTGATGATGAACCATGTGGTTCCATTGACATTGAACGAATTTCTTTTTCCATTGCAACAAGTAAATATTCATTTGGTGCTATGAAGAAAAACAAAAACAAAAAAAAGATGTTAAATTTTGATTTTATCAAAGAAACAAAAAAGTTCTTACGTGAACAAGTTCGTCGATCTATATTTAATGTTCCATATGCACATGCACATTGTGGTACACTTGTATCAGGCATAGCAAAACAAAGATCTTCACAAAAACGTTGTCGAACTGTTGATGTTTGACATGGTGATTCAAAATTTGGTTGTTCATCAAATAATACCATACCACCAACTTCAAACGTTTTTAATGTTAATATTGATTCTAAACGTTGTGTCATATTACTAACTGTTTTATTAATACGCATTATCTTTAAAACAAGCAAAAACAAAAAGTAAAAAAGAAAACGATTATTTAAAGATTTTACCGATGAAAATGCTCGATCCATGATATATAAATCATTATTTGCAATAAGTAGACTAATTGCTTTTGGAATATTACGTGAAACTGTTCGACGATTTCTTCCATCCCATGATATAACTTCAACTGTATCACGTATGGAATCTGACCAATAAACATCATCAGTAAGAAAATCAATTGTTATCGATTCTGGTCGAATAATTTGTGTTATTACAAGATACGTTATATTTTCACCATTGAGTAATGAACGACCTATACGAACACGTTGACCACGATCACACCAATACAGAAATCTAGAGAAAAAATTATAATATCATTTATTTGGGTTTGTTTTTTGTTTTTTTTAATTTAACCTTCGTTTTGGATTAACAGCGAGAGAATAAATTGTTTCATTTGCTCCTTTTCGTAAAATTAATCGATGATCTGTACCAAGACGATTAACTTCTAAATGACCATATGAATTTGTTATATAAGAAAAATATAAATTTCCAGCTATCCAATCAAGTGTAAGACCAAGAATGTAATTTCTTTGTGATCCAACACTTATTTGTAGATAATTTGTTACATTCCATGTTCGATTATCTGTCCATACTGCACGACGAATTAAACGATTTGCATTTATCCAATATAATTCACGATTGGAATATCGAACTGCTAGCATTTCCATATCATTACCTAAGAAGAATCAAAGTAGTTATTTAAATTGCATCAAATTATATAAAGATTTACGGAAAATGTCTTGAACATTATGTTATTTCCCACTCTAAAAGACTTCGGCTGGAGAAACGATGAGCTGGACGTAAAAGAACATCTGGAGTCTTCTATGGTGAGGAGGGATTGCAATGTCTTTAAAACACGTAAATTACAGTCACACTTAATGATTTTGTCTTACAAAAGGAATCTTCTAGCTGATTGGTTGCTTTTGAATCGAAACTACGTACATTATGTAGACTCATCTGAGTTTTGAATATTTTTAAAATAGTTCTGGCTAGAGATGTTCATTCGGAACCAAGTTGTTTTTGGTCAGGGGTTCCGGGCTAGAGGAAAACATTATAGAATTTATTCGTAAAACAATAAAAATAATTCTTCCATACTCGTTTTTATAATTTATTTAGTATACGACCAGAACATTTTTGGGCGATCTCTCTTCAATGATGTTCTGATTCATATTATTTATAACATATGCTCTGGTTCCACGCATTTCTAGTTCTGACTTTTAGCTTATTACTAGGTAGATACTACATTTTACCGTGTTTTTATATGAATATCGCGGTTTCCCTAAAAAAAAAACTGACTTTCGAATTTCGACCTAAAACTTTGTACAGAGATGGGCCGTAGTGATAGAAAGATAAAGTTTCAAATCTTTTGCTTTACGTCTATCTTAAAATAAGAATATTGAATCTACCGTTGTATGAGAATCATGCAAAAGACATGCTTTCACCATTGCTGTATCTTAGAATCGGAACAACGGAAAGATTTAAAATTTTTATTATAAATTATTCTCGTTAAGATTTTTCTATATATAAAGTTTCAAGTCGAAATTAAAAAATCAGTTTTTTAGATCACACCATTCATTTAAAAACTAGCGTAAAAGTATAGTGTCTATGCAACAATAAGCTAAGAAAGTGAATTTTTTTTCAGGATAGCCAGAGCTCTTTCGATTCTACATCATGCACTTAAGCTCGACTCAAAAGTGATTTATCAGTTGGAGACTTTTTTCGTAAAATTGGGATCGTAGAATCCTATACATTTGAATGCGAAGTAATTCATGTTAGTAATGATGAGTGCTGAAAACTAATCTTTCAAAAAACTACAAGTTACAATGATTTTTTTTCTGAGTTAAATGACTAATAAATTTTATACTGTTATAATCAGTTCAGCAATCTCTACAAAAATCCTATCTATTTAATCAGAACTTTAAAAAGATCTTTCTTCTTAACTTATACTAATATGAAGACAAAACATATATTTCTTTGCTTATAAATTGCTTATCAAACTTGAAGACTTTCATCAGACAAATTACAATATGTACATCAATACATATAAATTCATTTAATTTATCTTTGAAAACTGAAAGCTTATTTGACAATACTAAAATAAATCTTACCAGGAATCAATGGCATAACATCTTCTCTTGCTGAATCATTTGATCGATAATCAAATGCTCGTAATAATGAATGTGTACTATAAACAATATATTGTTGACTTTTAGGTGAACATGTTCGTCCGTCACTATTTAATTTATATCCAATAGCACAATCACATGTTGGTGTATCACGATTATTAGAATCAATTTGAAAACAGATTTGTTCACAATATGAACCATAATAACAATATGCATTGAAAGCTAAATAATAATAAAAAAAAAATGTTATCCTATTAATAAACAAGAAAATAATATTAACCTTCATAACGTGGATAAGCTCGGACTTGTCTTGGATCTTCTTGATTTGTTCGTACGGGTATAACATCTGATACAGGATTTAAACGATGATCAAACCATTTTTTATAGATACCTTCATATTCTTTATCAACAAAAAATAATGAATAATGTGTTGATGTTATATCATCATTATCACTAATTGTTATTAATGGTGATGTTGGAGGATAGTAATGAGTAAGAAAATCAAAACCTTGTGGATTATTTACTTCAACATCAAGTACTTTTGTATCACCTGAATCCATACAATGATATGAAATCTATAACAAATTAAAATAAAAACATGAAGAATATATCTTTTCTTTTTTTTTATAGTTTTTACTTTTTGTATACCAACATCACTCCAAAATATACAATGAAGATCAAGATTGTAAACAATATAATTTGGTCGTAAAAGATTCTCAACAATAACATTTTCAGGATATTTTCCATCAAAACGAACTCGACCTATTTTCATAGGAACTTGTCCACCACCAAAATCAATCCAATAAACATAACTATTAAATTATTTTTAAAAATTGAAAACAAAACACAATAAAATTTTAAACGAAACAATACCCATTTGTTGTATCAAGATCAAGTGCTGTAGGGTGCATTACACCTGTAGCATTTTCATGATCACTAAATACTATTGTATGATATAGACCATTTAAAGATATTGCATCTATTCGACTATGACGAATATTAGCAATAAATAGATTGCTAAGAATTAATGAGAAATTGAAGAAAATAATTAATTTGAAAAAAAAGATAATGATGAAATAAAATTTTACCGTCCAACAGCATCAATTTGCATTGTACCAGCTTCCATACCAACTAATATTTCATCATCACCGTAGAAAACAGTTTCATTAGTACCATCGAAATTAATTCGGCGAATTTCATACTATAAAAATGTCAAGTCATTAGTTAATTAATATTGCAAGAAAATTTGCTATGAATTAAATTTTAGGAATATTGTTTGACTTTTTTATCTGTTAAATTTCAATAGGAAATCTAGATGATATTAAAAAAAAACACATGTCAGCACAGTCCTATTGGGGTTGAATTGTGAAATTCACATGTGTTTTTTAGCCTCATTATACTAATACAAAGTATATTAAGTGAAAAACGTCTAGTTATTTTCTATGAATAATTGATCGCCAGAGAAACGATCTGCCGCATTTTGAATTTTATCAGTGCGCTGTCTTTTGTTGTGTGGTATTCTCTATGTGGAATTATATATTTTGATAAGCTCGGAAACACTGATAGTGATTATTTCCTGAAGTAATAATTTTATCAGTTAATGCTTTTCTTTTTATGTTCATCAGATGACGACTGTGGTAAACCAAAACATCACTATGCATCATTCTAGACATCTTGAATATTACTTTTTATCTACGCCAAAATCAGAAATTGCTCTATTTAGAACATTCATAAACATTTTGTAACAATTCAAATTTCAATGAAGGCTTTGAAATACTCTAGAATGTTCTAAATCTAGTCTGTAATGTTACTCAGCATGTCTTCTAGTTGCGAAGAAACTCTGAGAAAGGATTAAGACGCTCGTTGTCCTCGTTTGCTATGAAAACGTATCGAATGAACGTTAGCTTTGTCTCCATTGTTATGAGGGAGAACCGCAAATCTTCGATTAAAAACGTATACTGTTATATTTTTCTTCAAAAAACATAAAACGAATTTTACATGATCTATACATTATTTATTGATTCTCTTTTCCTTAACAATACATGATCTACTGTCAATAATGCACAAAAACTTCCATGTACTCTACATTTACACTGAACGCAACTTAAATAAGGTGATATTGAAATTCCTACTCTTCATGTTTTATGAAACACGATCTATCATGAGTGTTGAAATATATATGGTAACAATTCGGATTCCTTCCAAGCATCTTGGCTACTCATTACAGACTGTGACATACGCTATTGATATACGATCACAGACTGTACACTAATAAGGGTTCGATACAACATGTTAACTGATTCCTTACTGCGTTGCTGTAGAATTAAGAAAAACAAGGATAAAGCAATGTGTTTCAT